AACATGGGGTGCTTGTTTTCACATTTGCAAAATTGCTTCTACCTGGAAGAAGGGACGAGTGCGAAACAACTTTGTCTTTTTGCTCATTAAATGGAACCTTTCCTTACTCTCATTGGCCATAACTGTGTCATGTGATCAAGCACCCCTAGCTGCAGAGGCATTTTGGCAAATAAGTTTTTGTAGCTGAGCACATTGCTTTTCTAAACAAAAACCAGGCTTCTGTTATTAAGAAACATACGGACATTGGCTGTTGGGTAAATAAGTAGAGTTATCAGCCTTGGCTTCTAAGTGTTTGAAAAAGACAAAAAACAAAATCACATTACATAATTTAGCCATTCATGGCTAAATTGTCATGAGTGAAGGCAGTGATTCTTGGTCCCACAATTTACTTCTTCTCTTCCATTTGTTCCCTAAATTTCTTTGGACATTGTACATTTTGTTTCAGAACAGTTGAACGTTGGGAGAATGAAGCTCTTTGTATCAAGGAAATGACTGTATGTTATTGTTATTTGAACTCTGGGTTGATGCCAGCACATGAAGCCCTTAGCAGCTTCCTGTGGCCACATGGGAAGCCTTTCTATTACCTGGGCCCTACGCAGCAGGCCAGTGTCTTTTCAGAAGTCCCTGCCTCCTGAGGTGGCCTGTCCTCCTCTCTCTCAAGCCTGAGCTCACACAATCCAGGCCACAGTCACCTGAGTGAATCTTAAAAACAACTCTTAAAAAACATCCATGGTGAAGTGACTCATCTTCCTTCCCGACACTAGTGGCACAAGTATCCACTTGAAAACTTCCTTCTCTGAGTTAAATTTCTCCTTTTTGTTTAGTTGGGTGGGTTGCTGTAGTACTGCCAATTTTTTATAGCCTTACCTCTCCTTTTAATTTCTTTTTAATCACCTGCCCTTTCTTACAAGTGTAAGGAAACTTGGAGACCAATGAGTAACAACATTCTCCAAGTCCTACCCCATGTTCTGCTGGGAAAGCGTGGCTTCTGTCAAACACGCTTGTCTGTGCCCCCATAGACAAGCTTCCCCATCTCTACTGTTCTCCATGTGAAGCTCTTTCTCTCTTAAAATAAATTTCTTCTATTTAATCTTTTGACACATTCACACTGTTCAAAAATTTTAGTTTACACAGAAGAGAGTGAAAACTTGTCCCAATATCCAGGTAATTTTTTTTTTGTTTCTTATCTAACCTTCAAGAGTTTTTATTTTAAATGTGAATATAGGCAGCTCTCCTGCCTGCCTGTGTCTATTCAGGTGTCTCTCCCTGCTTTCCTTATGAACTTGGCCATGTTAAAAAAAAATATATATATGAGTACTGGCAAATAAAAATGTGTTCCTATCTTTGTCCCCCTTTTTTCCCCCCAAATATATGTCTAGTCTATGCACAGTTCTGCTACTTGTTTTTATTTTTTTCCCATTTACTAATATATCTTGGAGATCTTTTTATAAGTGTTAACAGAGTACACACTGTTTTTCTCCTTTTTTTTTTTTTCTTTTTAAGTTGTGTAGTATTAAAGTGATTTCTTTGAAACACAAACCTGGTCATACCATGCCTTCCCTGCCTCCTTCCTTTTTTTACAATTTATTCTCACGCTACTGTCAATCATCATCTTTGTTAGTAAGGGACTGTCCTTTGCTTTCTGAGGATTGTTAGTGTAAAATGATGCATTTGAATTTTTTTTTTAGAACAGCAACCATTTTTTTCCTAGATTCTTTGAGATATAATTGACACACAGCACTGTGCAAGTTTAAGGTACACAATATAATGACTTGATATATGTATGTGTTGTGAAATTGTTAATGCATGACCAAGGGCCATCCAGGACCCAAAAATGTTAAGTAGTGCATGCTTTAAAAGGGGTTGAGCCATTCATATGCACAAAGGCAAAGGAAGCACTCTTAGTGTGATAGATTTTTAAAGAATTAGTGTGCAGGGCAATTGGGGGATAGAGAGAAAAAGATTTCCAATAATAGTTTCCCAAGAGGGGCCTTCCTGGTGGCGTAGGGGTTAAAGACAGCACTATCAAGCTATCTATCACCAGGCACTGCAGCACAAGTTCAATCCCTACCCAGGTAGTTGACCCACATGGCGCAGCAGGCCTCTCCTGACTCGCCCACTGCTCCCCTCAGCAGTGTATTTCAGTCAGTCCGCCTGTTCTGTTTCCCACTTTGTCTCTGGTGAATCCTCTCACCCCCCTGCACCTCTGGCCTGTACCACAGTTCTTGTATGCATAAATAAATAAATATTAAAAAAAATAGTTTCCCAGTAAGACTCTCAGATTACCCTGGTGAATGCCCAGCCAAACAGGACTGACCCAAAGTGGAGACTGCTGAGGCCTGAAAACCTCTAAGTCTCCTAAGCAGTGCCAGGGTGCAAGCTGAGCTGGAAAAGCCAGCGAAGCTCAAGCCTACATGTGTTCTGTTTTAAGCCATGCATGGCTGCTTAACTCTGCCCTAGTTCCAAGTCCTAACCCCAAATCAGTTTCAGTTTGCTTCCAAAAAATGATTACCTCAATAGTTTAATTAGCATTCATCACCTCACATTATTAAAATTTTAATATTCTGCAATACAGCTTTCAAATATTTAGTATAAGGAGGGAGGGGTATTGAGACATGGACACTTCCAACATGGCTAGTGGAAATGTAAATTGATGGGGCCCTTTTGAAAAGTAGTTTATTAATGGCATGAATCCTTCAGGAGCTTGGAAAATATATCTGACCTATGACCTGGGTTTTATTCATAGGGTTTTGTTCTAAGTAGTACTGAGTAGTATTGAGGGAGTAGCTAAAGATTTCTAAGTAACGGAGTTCACTATGTGATGTTATTTCTAGTGGTGAAAGTTATAAGTTATGTGCATGTATCTGTATGACAAGGGGGTGGGGAAGTAAAGAAGTAAGCATGTGTTTTGATGCACGCTAATACTGAGAATGTATAGATAAAGATTTTAGGTACTCAGTGTTTTAGCATAGTGGTGGATGCTATGTGTTTATATGTTATAAAGGAAAATAAGGCCTGGCTATATGTCAGTTCATTTTTTATCACTCATGAACATTTAAAATGTGCTGGATATGTAGATTCCACATATTGTATTATAATCTGGACATTGGATCCAGACCATTTCCTTTAATTAAATTTTCACAGTGGTCACCTGGATAGAAGAATTAGGTAGTTTTTCTGTTTGTCATTTTACAGTTTCTGTATTTTTGAAAATGTAGATACATTACTGTTATAGTCAAGGGAACTAGATCGTGAAGGGCATCTTGCTATGCTGAGAAATGTGTATGTTCTTCCAGGGGCATTCGGGATCCACTAAAGAGGGATTTTAAGTAGAGAATGACATGATTGTCTTAACAAGAGCACACCCCAGGCCTTGATCAAAATAATTGACTACTTTCAGAAATAATAAAATCTGCCTTGTAGGACTGTTAGGGGAAGTAGAATGGATGGTATCCTTTTGCCAGTCAAAGTAAAGTAATGTAACTATATTTCTGAAATTGTCTGTTAGTAAGGAAAGAAAGTTAACTTTTTTCAGAAATGAAAAATAATTTAGGAAGTTAAGATAACGCCATTATCATTCTGGATTTATAACCATACAGTAATTCTCTCATTTTCTGATACTGATTTTAAAGATATCTTTTTTTGTTCTGTCCATAGTAATTATGCCATCTTATTAGTCATTCATAGACTTCAAATGGTAATCAGAATCTCTTTACTCAAGGTATATTACAGATTTCCACCTCAGAGGCACAGGTCTTTGAACATTCTGGGAGGAATTTAGAAGGAGAGGGATTGGTAGTGGCAGTTGGTATGTGAAAGTTTGTTCTTTAAGTATTTTATTTTCTGTGACGAGTTCTTTCTGTAGGTCTAACCTCTCAAGATGATTCTTTTCTTTGGCCATTAAACTATTTACTTCAAGAAAAACAAGTAAATGAATTAAGGAAAAAGGTGAAAATTTTAAAATATAAGACCAAATTAGTGGTTGCCCCAAGAGGAAGGGGGAATGGGCAAATTGGGTTAAAAGTGTTAGATATTTGGTAATGGATAGAATTGGACTTTTAATGTATACAGATACAGATTTATAATGATGTAAACCTGAAACTTACATAATGTTATAATGCAATGTTCCATCAATAACTTTTGTAAATTATTATAAACCAAAATACAGATATATTTCACCACTTAAGTTTGTTTTTATGCAGATTTCCAAGAACCTTTATAAAAAACATACTTGTTTTGGTATTTATCAATATATAGTGCTGTGTTTAAGATATTCAGTATTATCACCCATCTAAATTAGTATGTGCCTTTAAATTAAGGAGAATTGGCAGCATTTTGAAAGCCTACAGATGTGTTTGCCACTCCTAAGAGCACACCTGCCCCCTAGTGACTGAAGAAGGAAACATGAAAGATCGGGGAATGACAGGGGTTAAGAAATAGTCTTAAGTAGATGGGGCTTGTTGTTTATTCACACTTTAGAGGTGGAGAACATTTTTCTCTGGTGAATTGATGAAAGGATGCTTTCATGACAGGGGCTATCATTGTGGAATATCTGAAAGGCTGCTGAGGGGAATAAAAATGTTGCTACTCACAGGAATCAATGAAGTGTTGACGTCTCAGATGGGCTATACGTGATTTCAAATGGCTTTGTGCCAAGGGAGCTTTCATGAATGAAAATGTGAACTCCTGTGGGTGGGAGGGAGGATTGATTATGACCCAATGAGAACTAAGTCAAACTCTCACCTTAGACAGTCTGTTCCTTCCAGGCAGCCTGAGTTCTACCCCAGATTCCTGGGGAGTCTAGGTGGAGAAATCACCGCATCAAGAGTTGTTTAGATGTCTGCTCGTATCCAGTCAGTGGTCAGTGTATGGTGCCAATGAATATTGCTCCTTTCTCTATCAGTGACTTCTGACAATGGGAAATCAAATCTCGTTCAGTTTGGGAATATTTACATATAGTTTTGGATGATCATGTCTCCTTATTTGTCTTCTCTTTTTAGATAAAGAAGAAACAGCAGGATGTGGTTAGATTTCTAGAAGCCAACAAGATAGAATTTGAGGAGGTGGATATTACCATGTCCGAAGAACAAAGGCAATGGATGTACAAAAATGTGCCTCCGGAAAAGAAACCCACTCAGGGCAACCCTCTGCCACCTCAGATATTCAATGATGATCGATACTGTGGAGTAAGTAGCCAGATTACCATACTATTTCTTTGCATGACTCAAAACCATGGAGTCACCTAGAATGCAGTTGGGTTTTTTCAGTGAGGACAGTGACCTCTTCACCCAGTGCTTATTCAGGTCCACATGTTCATTAGAGGGTGAAGCAGAGAGGGAATATGAGTTCAGGGTCACAGACTGTGTGTAAATATGAGTATATGTGTATCTGTCAGTCTTCCTGTTTCTCTGTTTGCTTTGGAAAAGGGACTGGGAAGGGAACATAATAATTATGTTCAAAATTGTAAAATTATAAAAAAAAATTATGGAACATTTTTTGATATTTAAAACATTTGGGGGGATAGACTGGAAGGGATAATTATTCTTGAATGTTTATTCTTCCATAGTGTAAAAGAACTAATAACTGATTATAGACTAGAGTTTTACTTTCATATGATAATGATCCAGATGGATCATTATGGACATCTAAAGTGCATTAGGTGCCCTTCTGCTGTATATAGCATATGAGAAGACGAAGTAGTTTTGGCTATTTATTTTCCTTTTTGCTCTTTAGGGTAAGGAAAAAAAGAGAGAAACTTCTTTCTAATGAATATGTTATTACTTGTCTTTTGCCTAGAATTCTAAGTATATAGGTCTGTGTTTATTGGGACCTGTACTTTAAGGATGGTCTAGAGAAGAAGGGGCTACTGTGCTGAGGTACTTGAGACAAAATAAGTAGCTGGATTATTGTTGGGGTGGCATTAGGACAGGGATGGCAGGTTGCTTTTTGTGACTTGAAATGGATCCCCTCCCTCATGTGCATAAAGAGAATACGATATTAGAAAATAAAGCCATAAATATTAAACACAAACTTTTGACATACTTGTCATGAGGAGAATTCTAAACTGGGCACTACACATAGATGTTGACTCTGTGGTAATTTGAGTGGGTATAGAATTCTAGATTGCAAAGAATTTTGATGGTTTTTCTTCATTACCATCTGGTTTCCAGTACTGCAAAGAAGTCTAGTGCCATTTTCCTAATCTTTTGCATTTTTCCCCTCAGTTTCTTCTGTGCCAACTTTTTTTTTTTTAATTAATAAATTTTATTTTTATATTCCCCATACAATTGCAATCCCCCCATTCTGACCCCAATCCCTCCCCTCCCGCCCCCCATGCCCCAAAAAGTGTCTCTGGTTCATAGTTTTTGTTGATTTTGATTTTCACTTTCTTATAGTTATTCATTTTCCTGGTCCCTTATTTAAGTATTCTAGATTCCTGCTATGAGTGAGACCATCCGGTATTTTTCTTTTTCTTTTTGGCTTATTTCACTGAGCATGATCCCTTCCAGCGCCATCCATGTTGCTGCAAATTGCATGTGTTTATCTTTTTTGAATGCTGAGTAATATTCCATGATATATATGTACCACATCTTCTTGATCCAGTCATCTATTTTTGGGCATTTGGGCTGTTTCCAAAGCTTAGCTATTGTAAATAGTGCTGCTATAAACATAGGGGTGCAGGTGTTCTTTGGAATTGATGTTTCTGTGTTCTTTGGGTAAATACCTAGGAGTGGAATTGCTGGATCCTGTGGAAGCTCTATGTTTAGTAGGTCCAGAAATCTCCACACAGCTCTCCATAGTGGTTGGACCAGTTTGCACTCCCACCAACAGTGCAGAAGAGTTCCTTTTTCTCCACAACCTCGCCAACATTTGTTGTTGCTAGTTTTTTTAATATGTGCCATTCTCACTGGTGTAAGATGGTATCTCATGGTAGTTTTGATTTGCATTTCCCTGATGACAAGTGATGTTGAACATTTTTTCATATGCCTGTTGGCCATTCGCATTTCCTCTTCAGAGAAGTTTCTTTTTAGCTCCTTTGTCCATTTCTTGACTGGATTATTTTCTTTGTTGTTGTTGAGTCTCATCAGCTCTTTGCAGATTTTTGTGATCAGTCCTTTATCATTAGTGTTGTGTGCAAAAATTTTCTCCCAGTTGGTGGGGTTTCTCTATGTTTTTGTTATTGTCTCTTTTGCTGTGCAGAAGCTCTTTAATTTGATGTAGTCCCAGCTGTTGATCTTTGCCTTCACTATCACTGCTTTGGGTGAAGTGTCTGTAAAGATGTCTTTGATATGCAAATCACGTAGTGTTTTGGCTATATTTCCTTCTATGTATTTTATGGTTTCAGATCTTATGTCTAGTTCTTTAATCCATTTTGAGTTGATTTTTGTATATGGTGTGAGGTAGTGGTCAAGCTTCATTCTTTTGCATGTAGCGACCCAGTTTTCCCAGCACCATTTATTGAACAAACTTTCTTTGCTCCAATGCATAGTCTTTGCTCCTTTGTCAAATATTAGTTGACCATAAACCTGTGGGTTTATTTCTGGATTTTCTATTCGATTCCATTGGTCTGTATGTCTGTTCTTGTTCCAATACCATGCAGTTTTGATGATTATGGCTTTGTAGTAGAGTTTGAAGTCTGGGAGTGTGATGCCTCCATTCCCTTCTTTTTTTTCAGGAGAGCTTTGGCTATTCGGGGTTTTTTGTGATTCCATATGAATTTCATCAATAATTGTTCTATTTCTTTGAAGAATGACATTGAAATTTTGATTGGAATAGCATTGAATCTGTAGATTGCTTTTGGTAGGATGGCCATTTTAATAATGTTTATTCTCCCAATCCATGAGCAGGGGATGTTTTTCCATTTCTTTGTGTCTTCTTCTATTTCTTTTAACAGTGTTTTATAGTTTTCTTTGTATAGGTCCTTTACCTCTTTTGTTAGATTTATTCCCAAATATTTGATTTTTTTTGTTTCAATAATAAAAGGGATGGTTTTTTTGATTTTTTCTTCTTCAGATTTATTGTTTGTATATAGGAAGGCTACTGACCTTTGCGTGTTGATTTTGTATCCTGCCACTTTACTGAACTGATTGATGAGTTGAATTAGTTTTTCTGTGGAGTTTTTGGGGTTCTCTATGTATATTATCATATCATCTGCAAAGAGTGATAGTTTGACTTCTTCTTTTCCTATTTGGATTCCTTGGATGTCTTTCTCTTGTCTTATTGCTCTGGCTAGGACTTCCAGTATTATATTGAAAAGCAGTGGTGAGAGTGGACATCCTTGTCTTGATCCAGATCTTAATGGAATTGCTTTCAGCTTTTCACCATTGAGAATGATACTGGCTGTTGGCTTGTCATATATGGCCTTTATGATGTTGAGGTACATTCCTTGTATCCCAAGAATTTCAAGGGCTTTTATCATGAATGGGTGTTGCACTTTGTCGAAAGCTTTCTCAGCATCTATTGATATTATCATATGGTTTTTATATGTATTTTTGTTGATGTGTTGGATAACGTTGATTGATTTTCGGATGTTAAACCATCCTTGTGTCCCTGGAATGAATCCTACTTGGTCGTGGTGAATTACCTTATGGATACACTGTTGGATTCTGATAGCTAAAATTTTATTGAGGATTTTTGCATCAGTGTTCATTAGGGAGATTGGCCTATAGTTTTCTTTTTTTGTGTTGTCCTTGTTCGGTTTTGGTATTAGTGTAATGTTGGCTTCATAGAATGTGTTAGGTATTATACCTTCCTTCTCAATTTTTTGGAAGAGTTTGTGAAGGATAGGCACCAATTCGTCTCTGAATGTTTGGTAGAATTCATTTGTAAATCCATCAGGTCCTGGGTTTTGTTTTTGGGGAGGTTTTTGATTACCATTTCAATTTCACTAATTGTAATTGGTCTGTTTAGGTGTTCTATTTCTTCTTTATCTAGCTTTGGGTGATTGTAGAGTTGTAGGAATTTGTCCATCTCCTCTAGATTGTTGAACTTGTTTCCATATAACTGTTCATAGTAGTTATTAATTATTCTTTTGATTTCTGCTGTGTCCGTTGTGATTTCTCCTCTTTCATTTATTATCCTATTTATTTGTGCTTTCTCCCTTTTTGCCCTTGTGAGCCTGGCTAGGGGTTTGTCTATTTTATTTATTTTTTCAAAGAACCAGCTCTTGGTTTCATTGATCTTTTGGATTGTTTTTTTAGTTTCGATTTCATTTATTTCTGCTTTGGTTTTTATTATTTCTTTTCTTCTACTGGTTTTGGGGTTTTTTTGTTGTTCTTTTTCTAGATCTTTGAGCTTCGAGATAAGGTTGTTTCTTTGAGTTCTTTCTTGTTTCTTGATGTGAGCATCTATTGCTATATATTTTCCTCTTATTACTGCTTTTGCTGCATCCCATACATTTAGGAAATTGGTGTCCTCCTTGTCATTCAATTCAAAGAATTTTTTAATTTCTTCTTTTATCTCCTCGTTAGTCCAGTGGACTTCCAGTAGTGTGGGTTTCAATCTCCACGAGGTAGGAGAGTACCTTGCCTTCTTTTTATGGTTTATTTCTAGTTTGATGCCTTCATGGTCAGAAAAGATGGTTGGTATGATTTCAATCTTGGTGTATCTGTTGATGTTTGTCTTGTGCCCCAGTATATGATCGATCCTAGAGAATGATCCGTGTGTGCTTGAGAAAAATGTATACTCAGATTTTTTGGGTTTAGTGTTCTATATATGTCTGTTAAGCCCAAGCACTCTAGATCCTTATTTAGAGCTTTAGTGTCTTTACTTATTTTTTGTCTTGTTGATCTATCCATTGTTGATAGTGGTGTGTTGAAGTCTCCCACTACGTATGTGTTTTCTCTGATGTCTGTTTTCAGAGATGCCAATAGTTGTCTGATATATTTTGGTGCTCCTTCATTTGGTGAATATATGTTAATGAGTGTTATTTCTTCTTGAAGTATTGTCCCCTTGATCATAATGTAATGACCACTGGGGTCTCTTTTTATCTTTTTAAGTTTGAAATCTGTTTTATCTGATATGAGTATAGCTGTTCCTGCCTTCTTTTTTGGTCCATTTGCTTGTAGAATTGTTTTCCATCCTTTAACTTTGAGTCTATTTTTATCTTTTGCAGCTAAATGTGTTTCCTGGAGACAGCAAAAGGTTGGGTTTTGTTTCTTAATCCAGCCTGCAACTCTGTGTCTTT